GTTCTTCTGTTCACCTGGGCCAGCCTGAACCACAGTCCCGCCACCTCCACCTGTGCTGAGCGGCTGGGTGACAGGCGTGCACTACCACTCCACACTGCCCTTTTATGGTCAGGCATCGGCACATAGAGTAATCCACAAAGCTCTGGCCTGTGGGAGGGAGGCTGGCTCTACCCACCTAACTCTGCTGCGATTCTTCAGTATAACCTTCACCACAGGGCTGGGAAGGTGGCTCAGTGGTAGAGCGCTGGCCTTGCATGCATGAGACCCTGGGTTCGATTCCTCAGCACCACATAAGCAAAAAGAAAAAAGCCAGAAGTGGTGCTGTGGCTCAGGTGGTAGAGCGCTAGCCTTGAGCTGAAGAGCTGAGGGACAGCGCCCAGGCCCAGAGTTCAGGCCGCACGACTGACCAAAAAAAAAAAAAAAAAAACACCTTCACCACAGGCCAGTCTCAGGCCTGTCAAGCGAAGGTGCTAATGTGGTAGTTAGGTCAGAAAGTCGCAAACCAGGTGTCAGTACACTGGTTCTGACAGGCCCACCAAGTCTCATGTATGTTTTAAACTCCATTTGCTGCTGGTTTGAACACGGGGCAATCTCACGCAGTTCTGAGGCCCTGACATCCTCTTCCCTGCACGGCAGCAGCTACCAAAGCCACGATGCTCCCGCCTGGGGACAAATCTGAGCTTTGAGCCCAGTAGGGCCACCTCGGAATGGCTTTTCTAAGTGCAAAAGGCAGGCTCCGGAACGAAGCCCCCCCCCCCCCCCCCCCCCCCGCGCAGCCCGCCTCTGCCCACAGCTAGGCATCCCCCACCCTCCAATACTGAAGACCTGTCACACTGTGCCACACCACATCACACCATACACCACACCACGCCACAGTGTCACACCACACCACACATCACACCATACACCACACATCACACCATACACCACACCGCATCACACCACATCACACCATACACCACACCACGCCACACCATACACCATATACCACACCACGCCACAGTGTCACACCACACCACACATCACACCATACACCACACATCACACCATACACCACACATCACACCATACACCATACACCACACCGTGTCACACCATACACCACACCACATCACACATACACCACACCACATCACACCATACACCACACCACATCACACCATACACCACACCACATCACACCATACACCACACCACACATCACACCATACACCACACCACATCACACCATACACCACACCACGCCAGTGTCACACCACACCACACCATACCACACACCACACCACGCCAGTGTCACACCACACCACACCGCATCACACCACACACCACACATCACACCATACACCACACCACATCACACCATACACCACACCACACCACCACACCATACACCACATCACATCACACATACACACCACATCACACCATACACCACACCACATCACACCATACACACACCACACCACCCACCATACACCACATCACACCACACATACACCACACCACACCACACATACACCACACCACACCACACCACCACACCACATCACACCACCACACCACATCACACCACACCATACACCACACCACACCGCATCACACCACACATCACACCATATACCACACCACCGCCACATCACACCACACACCACACCACATCACACCACACACCACACCACGCCAGTGTCACACCACACCACACACCACGCCAGTGTCACACCACACCACGCCAGTGTCACACCACACCACACCACACCACACCATACACCACACCACATCACAGTGTCACACCACACCACATCACACCACACACCGCGTCACACCATACACCACACCACGCCAGTGCCACACCACACCACACCATACACCACACCGCATCACAGTGTCACACCACACCACACATCACACCATACACCACACCACACCCACATCACACCATACACCACACCACACATCACACCATACACCACACCACACCACATCACACCATACACCACACCACACATCACACCATACACCACACCACACCACACCATACACCACACCACACCACACACCACACCATACACCACACCACACACCACACCACACCACACCACACACCACACCATACACCACACCACATCACACCATACACCACACCACACCACACACCATACACCACACCACACCATACACCACACCGCATCACAGTGTCACACCACACCACACATCACACCATACACCACACCACACCACATCACACCATACACCACACCACACATCACACCATACACCACACCACACCACACCATACACCACACCACACCACACACCACACCATACACCACACCACACACCACACCACACCACACCACACACCACACCATACACCACACCACACCACACCATACACCACACCACACCACACACCACACCACACCACACCACACACCACACCACACACCACACCACATCACACCATACACCACACCACACCACACACCATACACCACACCACACCATACACCACACCACACACCACACCATACACCACACCACACCATACACCACACCACACATCACACCATACACCACACCACACGCCACACCACACCACACCACACCACACCACACCACACATCACACCATACACCACACACCACACCACACCACGCCACACCACACACCACACCACACCACACCATACACCACACCACGCCACATCACACCATACACCACACCACATCACACCACACACCACACCACGCCACAGTGTCAGAACACACCACATCACGCCACACCACGCCAGTGCCACACCACACCGCGTCACGCCACACCGCACCGTCACACCATACGCCACACCCCATGACACCACGCCACACGGTGCCACACGTACCGCGTCACACCACACATCGCAGCGAGCCGCACTGTGTCACGCCACGCTGCACTGGTCTTCCTAAGGCAGCGTCTCAAGCAACAGTGGAGGCCAAGGGTAGCAAGCAGTAGGGACCACGCTGGAGAAGTATCTCTGCCAGGTGAGTTGTCGCCTTTCAGAACCAGGACAACAGATAAACGTGACCCCGCGTCTTTCCTGGCAACAGGCTTGAGGGACTTCGGAACCATGCACTTTGAGAGGAGAAAAGTAGCAGGGGAAAAGAGGGACATGCCTTGGGCTAGCTAATGTTGCCTGTGGAGAGCTGCAAACCCCTCATAGGCCGAACCAGGCCCTGAGGGCAGAGGGCCTGCGTTCAAATGCTACAACGGGGGACAAAGTTCTTTCACAAACACAGCACATCTTCCTCCGTTATAAAACACCAGCACGAGATTCGCCTCCCACTTCAGTTACAATGTCAAAGTTCAGTCACTTGGTGCATCTCAGCTTCTGAGCAGCCAAGGATGGGCCTTAGGTCGTCAGTGGGCCTAGGCCTTCACACAGGCAGGCCTGGCTCCTGCCAGCCTGGGCCAAGGGCCCCTGTGAGTGAGCGAGCGCGGGCCGGAGCTCCCGACAAGCCGCCATGCTCCACCTAGAAGGCCTTCTCCTTCTCCAGAGCCAAAGCCTCACCCAACACTGGAGGGCAGACAGCTGAGTCCGCACCACCTCCCGGTCAACCCCAGCTGCAACAAGTTTGCCTTCCTGTGTCTTCCTGAAACCCCTTCCAGAAGCACTCTGCCATCCTGTACTGTCACGGCTCACAGTTTGTTCTGCCCTGCAAAGACCATTCCCAGCCCCGAGGAGAGCGGACACAAGGTACAATGCCCATGTGCCGCTGATCATACAAACTAATGTTTACCTAAAGGAACTCCAGAAAAAGGAAGCAAGAGTTGTTTGCTCTTTTGGCTTTCTTGTCCTGTTTGTTCCTTTATATGTCTTTGGGAGTCTAAGGGGAAGCATAGAAATGGAGGAGCAAAAGGCAAACAAATGCAGCAATCACTCCTGGAACAATATGTTGAAAATGAATTTTACATCTTGTGGTTAGGGATGGGAAGGGGCAACATCGTCCAAAAAGAAATATACTTACCTGACTTATATGACGTAATCCCCCCCATACATCACCTTTATAATAACAATACTGGGGAAAAAAGAATCCTATCTCTAATTCTTTCTCCTTTTCATCTCAAACAACAATGGAGAAACCGAACGTGGGAAAACCGCGCTGCCTTGTTTTCTTCACCTTCAACTAAGTGTCACCATGAAGATTTTTATGATAGCTGGGCCAAGAGGAATGAATTTCCAATGCAAAGGAGACCTGACAGAGTTAAAGACAAATTCTAGAGACGAGACCCCTCTGAGGGCCTCATTCTCTTCAGAGGTAGGCCAGGACAACTTAAATTTCAGAAGCATGGGTTTTAGACACTCAATTGTATTAGTTTTTAAAACATACACATAATCAATTTAGCTAAACAAAGACTAGTTAAGACATAAACTCAATTTGGCTTAGACATCAGGATCATTCTCTTGGGTAGCTTAAAAAAGTCAGACAAAATGAGTACCTTGCCAGTTCCAGGAGGTCCTGCCAACAAGACAGCTCTTCCAGCCATTTTCTTGCTTTTGATTAATTCTACTATTACACCACATGCCTGTACACAATGGAAAGAAAGAGTCAATAATAAAATGCTTTTCGGGGGCGGGGGGAGGGTGTCCAGCTGCTGGTCCACACAATCCACATACGCATCCAACTAACCCCAAGGCCAGGAGACCGTGGCAACTGCTGTAGGTACTGGGCAGTGGAGGAGACAAAAAAAAAGCCTTGTGTGCCAGCTCAGGCACACAGACATGGCATGAACTCGATACCAGGAAGAAAGATGACACGCGACGTAGGGAGGCCTAGGGAAGTATCAGTGGGTGGCGTAGGGACGTGTAGGGAGGATGGTAAGAATCACCTCGGAGAGACTCCATATGCAAAGCCCTAGGGCATCACAGAAACACAAGAGTAAAAAACTCCTAAGTCGGGTGTTTGGCTTATCCAGGGACAGAAAGTCCCTGGCTATAAAACTTTGGTTAAAGTGTAGTGCAAAGGTGAACGGGAACATGAGGTTGAAGAGGGTGGCAGGGTCAGACAGACCAGGAATTCGCAGTACATCATAAAGTTGGGATTTTATAGCCAGGTGCTGGTGGCTCATGCCTGTCATCCTAGCTACTCAGGAGGTTGAGGTCTGAGGATCACAGTTCAAAGCCAGCCCAGGCAGGAAAGTCTGTGAAACTCTTATCTCCAATAAACCACCAGAAAACTGGAAGTGGTGCTGTGGCTCAAGTGGTAGAGCACTAGCCTTGAGCTGAAGAGCTGTGGGACAGCGCCCAGGCCCAGAGTTCAAGCCCCACAACCGACCAAAAAAAAAAAAAAAAAAGGTTGGCAACCGACTGAAATGTCACACTGTGATTTGTCTTCAAGACTGTGCGCCAGTGGCTCACACCTGTAATCCTAGCTACTCAGGAAGCTGAGATCTGAGGATCAAGGTTCAACGTGTGCCCAGGCATGAAATTAACTACCAGAAAACCAGAAGTGGTGCTCTGGCTCAAAGTGGTAGAGTGCTAGCTTTGAGCAAAAGAGCTCAGGCAGAGTGCCCAGGCCCCAAGTTCAAGCTCCATGACCAACCAAAAAGAAAAAGACTGTGAACAGGGAGTTGGTGGCTGACACTTGTGATCCTGGCAACTCAGAAGGATTTGCTTTCAATGCCAGGCCAGGCAGGAAAGTCCAGAAGACCCTTATCTCCAATCAACAACAACAGAAAGCTAGAAGTGGAGACATAGCTCAAGTGCAGCAGTTCAGTCCTGAGTGAAAAAGTCAAGCTAGTAAGGCCTCTATTATTTAAGTCCCAATACTTACAAAATACACAATGAAGGACCACACCGTTCTGTTTGAAACGATGGGTCTGTGATTCAAAGCACTGAAGCAGTGCTTGCTTCTAATTTCTTCTATAGAGCTCTCACCATCAAACAAGACAGACTTGGGGCTGGGCACAGCTCAAGTGGAAAAGCACTTTGCTTAGCTATCAAGCATGAAGCCCTGAGTTCAAACCCAGTACCATCAAAAAGAACAAGTACAGGTCTAGTGTTTTTTCTTGTGGATTTTTTTCCTGTTGTATTTTAAAAAACAAAAACAAACCCCAGGTTTTTAGATGATGTTCATAAGAGAGTAATTAGGATGTGCTGTAGATGAAAGTATTTCCTCATAGCCCTGTGCTGTATTGTAATTTGCACCCTCTAATCTCCATCAATACCTTTTTAAACCGTGCCCTCTAGTATTACAGAAATAGGATAGCACGTATACAAACTCAGTGAATGCAAAGCACCTTCCACCTGCAGCACGACACTTAGTGCTGACAGTGCTGTCAGAGCTGTTTGAAGATGCTCCTGCGCACCGGAGGCCACACCTGCAGTCCCAGGGACTGTGGAGGCTGAGATCTGAGGAGCTGGTTTAAAGCCAGCCTTGGCAGCAAAGTTCATGAGACTTCTATTCCCAATTAACCACCAAAAAGTTGGAAGTAAGGCTATGGTGCTATCGTTTGAGTGGTTGAGTGCTAGACTTGAGCAAAAAAGCTGAGACAGAGTCCAGGACCTGAGTTCAGCTCCATGACTGGCACACACACAAAAAGATGTTCTTCTATAGAATGTTTTCTTTCCAGATAACTGAGAAGCTAAAAAAGAAAAAGAAAAAGAAAAAAACTTTTTTAAAGCCAGAAACCACAACATAAGACTTTGCTGTTTTCTGTTTTTTCTTTTCTTTTAATGGAATGTGTTAAATGTTTCTCTACTTCTGTTCAGATGGCTCCGAACACAGACGAGTTGCTGCTGCTGTTCTCATCGATGCGCACTTTGTATGTGTAGAAATATATCCCTACATATGTACGTGTGTGTGTGTGTGTGCGTGCGCACGCACGAGGGCCCAGGGCTTTGCACTCAGGACTTTCACTTGGCTTTTTCACTCACATCTGGCACTCTACCACTCAAGCCAGGCCTCTACTCCCAGCTTTTAGCTGGTTAGCTGAAGATAAAGAGTCACGAATTTTGTCTTCCCAGGCTGACTTCAAACCTAGATCCTAGATCTCAGCCTCCTGAGAAGCTAGTCATAGGTGAGAGCCAGCAGCTCCTGGCTAAACATACACTTTTAATTTCTGGAAACTAGCTGAGCAATTTGGAAAGAAGTATCTGAATTTAGTGTTGAGGTGGTATCATACAGAAATTCATTACCACATTGGTATGAAAATGATCTGATTTATTAAATATGTCAGGTCTTATCTACATGGTTAACTGGAATTAGTCTCGCAGACCTTTCCTGCCCAGGCTGGCTTCAAACCGCTATCTTCAGAGCTCAGCCTCCAGAACAACTTTCCCTCATTTCCTGCAGGTCTCTGTGGTTGCTAGGCCTCTGCATAAGCCCGCAGACTCCCACCTAGGGAAGGGCAAACCCCAGCAGGAGCCTTCCTCAGCCGGGAGGCCCGAGACATCCCACCCACCCTCCCTTTCCTCATCTACAAACAAAGCGCCACAGAGACTTCCGTCATTGCCACTTGATAAAGTAAACCCGGGTGGAAAGGTCCACAAAGGTCCTGTGAGCAGCAGACACGACATCCCGGATTGTGCCTCTCCCTCGTTCTACTCTCTCCGCTCCGCGGACCTGAGTTTGTCGAGGGTGGACCTGATGTCTGACTTCAGGAGCCTGAGTTGAGCCACGGAGTGGGCTCCACCGGCAGTGGTCAAAGCCCCCCACCACGCGGGCCGCCACCAGCCCTTCCGGGTCAGCCCTGGCCCCCTAGGAACCCCAGAGGGAGGTCAGGGACAGGGGTCCCAGGGAGACCCTGAGAGACCCCCGGGGAGGCCCCAGAAGGGAGGCCGCGGGCGGGGCCCCGGGAGGGGGGAGGCCCCGGAGGGGAGGGAGGCCCCGGGAGGGGGAGGGAGGCCCCGGGAGGGGGAGGGAGGCCCCGGAGGGGAGGGAGGCCCCGGGAGGGGGAGGGAGGCCCGGGGGGGAGGGAGGCCCCGGAGGGGAGGGAGGCCCCGGGAGGGGGAGGGAGGCCCGGGAGGGGGAGGGAGGCCCGGGAGGGGGGAGGGAGGCCCGGGGGAAGGGGGAGGCCCGGGGGTGGGGGGGAGGCCCCGGGGGGAGGGGGAGGCCCGGGAGGGGGGAGGCCCCGGAGGGGAGGGAGGCCCCGGGAGGGGGAGGGAGGCCCCGGAGGGGAGGGAGGCCCCGGGAGGGGGAGGGAGGCCCCGGAGGAGAGGGAGGCCCCGGGAGGGGGAGGGAGGCCCGGGGGGGAGGGAGGCCCCGGAGGGGAGGGAGGCCCCGGGAGGGGGGAGGGAGGCCCGGGAGGGGGAGGGAGGCCCGGGAGGGGGAGGGAGGCCCGGGGGAAGGGGGAGGCCCGGGGGTGGGGGGGAGGCCCCGGGGGGAGGGGGAGGCCCCGGGGGGAGGGAGGCCCGGGGGGAGGGGGAGGCCCGGGGGTGGGGAGGCCCCGGGGGTGGGGGGGAGGCCCCGGGGGGGAGGGGGAGGCCCGGGGGGAGGGGGAGCCCCGCGCCCCGCGCCCCGCCGCACCTCTCTCGCGTTCTCCTGGCCCACGAGCCCCGAGGCCGCCTGCTTGGCCAGGCCGCCCTCGTCCAGCCCCAGCCCCTTCACGTGGCTGTGGGAGGCGATGCGCTGGGTCTTGGTGGTGCTCTTCACCTCCTCGATCTTCATCGTCCCTGAGAGCGGCGGCGAGTGCGGAGCCCGCGGCGAGTGCGGAGCCGGCGGCGAGTGCGGAGCCCGCGGCGCCCGCGTTACCACGAGGCCGTTACCCAGGCGGCGCTCCGGGGCCCGCCTCCGCCGCGCGCCATTGGAGGACGGGGAACACCTCCGACCTCCATTGGCTCCAGGCTGCGTCCGTCCGAACGGCTCGGCGGGGCCCCGCCCGTCCACTTCCGGTGGTGCCACCGGGCTGGCGTTCCCCGGCGCAGGCACTTCCTGTCCGGCGCTGGCGGCGGCGCGGCGCTGGCGGGGGCGCGGGTCCCAGCCTCGCCGCCACGCCACGCCGCGCCCCGCCCCGCCGCGCCCCGCCCCGCCCCGCCGCGCCCCGCCCCGCCGCGCCCCGCCCCGCCGCGCCCCGCCCCGCCCCGCCGCGCCCCGCCCCGCCGCGCCCCGCCGCGCCCCGCCACGCCACGCCACGCCACGTCCCGCCACGCCACGCCACGTCCCGCCACGCCACGTCCCGCCCCGCCACGCCACGTCCCGCCCCGCCGCGCCCCGCCCCGCCGCGCCCCGCCGCGCCCCGCCACGCCACGCCCCGCCACGCCACGCCGCGCCCCCGCCCCGCCGCGCCGCGCCCCGCCCCGCCGCGCCCCGCCACGCCGCGCCCCGCCCCGCCGCGCCCCGCCACGCCACGCCCCGCCACGCCACGCCACGCCACGCCGCGCCACGCCACACCCGCGCCCCGCCGCGCCACGCCCCGCCACGCCGCGCCACGCCACGCCCCGCCACGCCACGCCCCGCCACGCCCCGCCACGCCCCGCCGCGCCACGCCCCGCCGCGCCCCGCCCCGCCACGCCACGCCCTGCCACGCCCCGCCCCGCCGCGCCACGCCCCGCCGCGCCACGCCCTGCCCCGCCACGCCCCGCCACGCCCTGCCACGCCACGCCCCGCCACGCCCCGCCACGCCACGCCGCGCCCCGCCACGCCGCGCCACGCCACGCCCCGCCCCGCCACGCCACGCCACGCCGCGCCCCCGCCGCGCCACGTCCCGCCGCGCCACGCCGCGCCACGCCCCGCCGCGCCACGCCCCGCCGCGCCCCGCCCCGCCACGCCCCGCCGCGCCCCGCCACGTCCCGCCACGCCCCGCCGCGCCACGCCACGCCCCGCCCCGCCACGCCCCGCCCCGCCGCGCCCCGCCACGCCCCCGCCGCGCCCCCGCCACGCCCCGCCGCGCCACGCCCCCGCCGCGCCACGTCCCGCCGCGCCACGTCCCGCCGCGCCCCGCCGCGCCCCGCCACGCCCCGCCGCGCCACGCCCCGCCACGTCCCGCCGCGCCCCCGCCGCGCCACGCCACGCCACGCCACGCCACGCCCCGCCACGTCCCGCCACGTCCCGCCGCGCCCCGCCGCGCCATGCCACGCAGTGGCGCCTCCGCGGCCCTGACTCGACCCGGAGTTTCCCGGGGACCCGGCCGGCCTCTCCCCGCTGGCGGCCGGTGGAGCGGAGCGTTTGTAGCCCGGAGGCCCCGCTGCGGACCGCCGCCGGAGGGTGGCGGCCCCGGTGCTCCACTACCTGACGGCCCTGGGCCTTCCCCGTGAGCGGGGGACCGAGCACCAAGCACCTGGAGCCTCCCCGCAGGCCCGGCCGTGTGAGCGGGGGACCGAGCACCAAGCACCCGGAGCCTCCCCGCACCAAGCACCCGGAGCCTCCCCGCAGGCCCGCCGTGTGAGCGGGGGACCGAGCACCAAGCACCCGGAGCCTCCCCGCAGGCCGGCCGTGTGAGCCCCCAGATCCTTGGGGAGTGCTACAGGACATGACGGCTGTTCGCGGCTGAGAAGCGCAGCGGCGGCAGCGGCAGCGGCACCTGAAGGCATTTGGTCCATTCAGAAGTGTTTCAGACAGCTCACTCCAAACTGCAAGTTCCGGTAAGCCCCAGGAATCCCGCGGACCCTGCCCACGTTTCCACGTCGGCCTGAGGAGGCCCAGAAGATAGTCTGTGATTGGTGGAGACACCCTTAACACAGACCTCCCGTCCCCCTTCCTGGCTATGAAAGCAAAACTGTTCCGCTCACTCACTACGCCAAGACAGCCTGAGCACCCTCTTCTGTGCTGGTGCTGCGACCTTAAATCTGGGAAGAGGCTCCCGAGGGGTCATTGTTTCATTGTGCTCCTTTTTAATTTCAATGGAACCCAGTGCCACCAGAAATAAACAAACATGAAAAATAGATGATGATGATGATGGCCAAACAATGACTGATTTGGCAGGCCAGTGTCCAAGGTACACAAGGTAAAAGATGAGGACTATAGCAGTGGACCTAGGTCACTTTTTTTTATTGTTTTTTTTTTTTGTCGGTCGTGGGGCCTGAACTCTGGGCCTGGGCGCAGTCTCTCAGCTCTTCAGCTCAAGGCTAGCACTCTACCACTTGAGCCACAGCACCACTTCCGGCTTTTTTCTTTTTGCTTATGTGGTGCTGAGGAATCGAACCCAGGGCCTCCGGCATGCAAGGCCAGCGCTCTGCCGCTGAGCCGCCTTCCCAGCCCCAGGTTACTTGTGTCCATCCTGCTGATGCTGTTCTTCCCTCTTGGGTCCAGGTGGTTTGGGCGACTGCCCCCAGCTGCTGCTTTGTTTCAGAGTGAATCTGTGGCCCCAGGATAGCCCAACGGAGCATCCCAATCTCCCAGACATTGTGAGTGCGTCCGGATGTGAACATCTGTCTCACACCCTGAGACCCTGGAAATACCTAAAATTTCTGGGAAACTTGGGAGATGATTTTTCAGCCTGGTGATTGTCTTTGCCATTTCACAAGTGGACTACCCCTGAGGGAAAGCTAACACAAGAAAAGGAAAGCTGGCAGAAAGAGATTCCTGATGAGATCCTTCACGCTCCTGCGCTCAGGCTCACTTGCGTTCCTTTCAGGGCTTGGGATGGGCTGAGTTTGGTTTTATGGGTTCTGAACATCCAGACGAGTGCAGCGATACATGCACAAGTAATGGCGTGGTCTAGTTTTAAATGCGCATCTACAAGAAGCTGCATCCACAGCTGCAGGTAGACTGCCTGCCTTGGCTGGAAGTGGAGTGTGGTCGTGGGAAAGCCAGACAGCGTAGGCCTTAGATAGTCCGTGTGCCTCAGCTTTGCGGTCTGCCCTGGCATTGTCATCACTCTTATGTAAACTTCTTGGAGTAGCTCCCTAAGCTGGCTGACCTCTACCCTGCACCAACCCTAGCGCTAAAGATGGTGTAGCCTCTGAAACCTCTGAAGGTTTTCTTTCTGTGCTTCAGCATAGGTCCATCAATATATTGGATGCATGTATTCATGTATGACCTGTTGTGCTGAAAATATGGTTTCCACACTCCTGTTCAGGGTAACATGTTAGATTGTCCGAATATCTGTAGTGACTGTCATATTTGGCTCAGTATTTTCTTATTTTCCTTAAGGCAGAGGAGTCTATGTGTGTGTTGGGGCGCACATGCGTGGGAGTGCTGGTGTGGTATGTGGAGGAGCTGGCCCTGCACAGCCCTCAGAAGGCCCCTTGGGATGAGGTGCTCTGGCTCCCCGCGCGAGGGGGCGGCCTCTCTGAACGGGCACAGCGTGCCGCCACTGCCTCGGGCTTCCTCCCTCTCTGGCCAAGGCGGATTAGCAGACCTGTGTAGACGCTGCTCTTGCTGAAAAGCACTGACTCCTCACTTGGCACATGAGTTAACCGAAACAGGAGAAAACTCTGGCATCCCTGCCACAATGATTGCATCTGTGTTCTTTGCTCTTACTCTCTGTCAGTGCTCTGCAGTCTGTGAACGTCATGAGGGGCAGGCCTGCATGTCATACACATGCAAGGAGCAATGGAGAAAACAGTCCTCCAGGAAGGAAGAGTAGATCCTCCTCAGGACAGATGCCCTGCCGAGGAACAAGGACTTGTTTGTCCTGCCCAGACGGCTTTCAAGTGATGAAGGTCAAAACCTCTTCAGAATCCCTCCCAAGACCAGCACTGCAGCTGCGGCCAGCCAGGCCACACCCATCCCCTGTCACAGGAGATGCTGGCTGAGGCATGCTCAGGGCCCCTGCCCCGATTCTTTTCCTTCTGATGCCTAAAGCTCACACTGAAGATGGGCTGAAGCATACTCACTTCGCCTCCGGTGCCACATAACAAATCTCTTTTCTCTGTTCTTCACCATTGCTTGTCTCCTTGACATGCAGAACCTGGCCTAAAACTCCAGCTTCATAGCTGGGTACTGGTACAAAACAATAGACCCAAAAGATCTAGAATAGAATCGAAGATGGGGGGATAAAAACCACACAGCGGCCTGCGCCAGTGGCTCAGGAGTCTAAGATCTTAGGATCCTGGTTCAAAGCCAGCCCGGGCAGGAAAGACCATGTGGCTCTTCAATTAATCATCAGAAAACCAGAAGTGCCACTGTGGCTCAAGTGGTAGAGTACTTGCCTTGAGCTGAAGAGCTCAGGGACAGCCCCCGACCCAGAGTTCAAGCCCCATGACCAAAAACAAAAAACCCCACACAGGAATAACTATCTGATTTTTGACAAAGGAACCAAAAACATGCACTGAACAGAAGACAGCCTCTTCAACAAATATTGACCTGCTATCTACTTGCTGGTGACTGAAACTTGATCTCTGTCTCTCATTTTATACAAAAATCAATTCCAAGTGGATCAAAGAACTTAGTAAGACATAAAACTTTAAACTTATTACAGGAAAATGTAGAGAAAACTGGAAGTTAGAGGCATAGGTAATTATTTTCTGAATAGCACTCCTGCTGCCCAGAAAGCAATAACAAGAATTAAACAGATAGGACTTGATCAAATTAAAACATTTCTGTACAGCAAAAAAAAAAAACAATTACCAGAACCAAGAGTTAATCCACAGAATGGAAGAAACATCTTCAGCAGCTGTTCAGATAAAGAATTAATATCCAGAGTAGACGAAGCTCAAAAAAATTAAGCAGCAAAGGAATAAATAATCCAATTAATAAACAGGCAAGCAAATTGAACGAAGTTCTAAGAAGAAATACAAATGACTGATACATGGGGAGAGAAACCATGTCCACCATCCTTAGCTATAAAAGAAATGCAAATCAAAACACTAAGATTCCACATCCCCCAATCAGATGATAGACATCAGGAACAGCCAACAGCAAACACTGGTGAGGAGGGGTGTGTAAGGAGTCCTCATGCATGGTGGGCGAGAGTGTACATTAGTGCAACCACTGTGGAAATCAGCCTGGAGCTTCCTCAAAAAAAAACAGAAGTAGGGGCTGGGAAGGTGGCTCAGTGGTAGAGCGCTTGCCTTGCATGCATGAGGCCCTGGGTTCCATTCCTCAGCACCACATAAGCAGAAAAAGCTGGAAGTGGCACTGTGGCTCAAGTGGTAGAGCACTAGCCTTGAGCTGAAGAGCTGAGGGACAGCGCCCAGACCCAGAGTTCAGGTACCATGACTGGTTAAAAAAAAAAATAGAAGTAGACTTACCTTATAACTGCCGTACCAATATTGGACCTTTATGCCATTGATAAAGTATATGTGTAAGTCAGTTTTTAAGAAGAGACCAAACTATGGAATCAGGTAAAGAAGCCAGCAACAGATGAGTGGATAAAGAAGATATGGTACATGAACACCATGGAATATTACCCAGCCACAAAGAGACAAGAAACCACAACACTTGCAGGAAAAAGGGTAGAACTGGAGAACATAATAGTGAGTGATGTAAGCCAGCTCAAAAAGCCAAATATTGTTACGTTTTGCTCATATGTATGTAGAAGCTAGGCCTAAAAGGAATACACATTCATGGGCCTGTGTATGTGTGCATGTACAATTAATGTATATAAAAAGAGCATAAACAAGCAAAACTGTGGTTTCAGTGTTAATGCCGGGAAGTTGGGCACCAGTGGCTCATGGCTTGTAATCCTAGCTACTCAAGAGGCCTAGGCAGGAGAGTCCACGAGAGAATCTTAACTCCAGTTAACAACCAAAAAGCTGGAAGTGGAGCTGTGGATCAAGTGGTAGAGTGCTTACTAGATTTGAGCAGAAAAGCTCAGGGACAGTGCCCAGGCCCTGAGTTCAAGCCCCAGGATCAGGAGAAAAAACATGAAAGTCAGGTGTCTCAGCTGTGGGCCTGGGTGACAACCTCCTCTGAGCTGGTGTGGGACAGGCTGAGGACAGCACATGGTTAATATAATCACTGGCAAGGTGCACACCCTCAGAGAAAAGTGAAGTTTCCATTTAATTCCTGAAAGAATCTTTAAAGCCTAAACTCAAAGAGCAAAGTATAGCTTCCTCTGGGCAAATTTATAATTAATCCTGGATTAATTGGCCCTAATGAAGTTGAATTAATTACTGGCTGTTTGTAAAGAACTTTGAACTACCTTAGTACAGAATGGCATTAGAGAAACTGAAAGAAATCGCATCCCATTAACATTTGCAACAGATAATCGCAGTCCTGCAGGCTGTTTCCAACAACGGCCGGTGCTGCTCACTGCCTGTGGGGCTGCGTGGGGCTCAGGACTGGCACGGTGGAGGGAGATGTCAGTGATGGTCCATCTTCATGCACCGGGCAGCGGTGATCTCCGCTGTCCTCGGCCCTTCTGGGGTGGTGGGGTGGAAAATGAGAGCACCGTCCTGGTCTGAAGCACACAGGACTCCAAGCAAGAGAGGTTGGAACAGAGACCAACAGATGCAAGGCAGCTGTGTGTGTGTGTGTGTGTGTGTGTGTGTGTGTGTGTGCGCGCGCGTGCGTGCGCGCGCGCGCGCGCACGCCAGTATGAGGGCTAAACAGGGCTTTGCATTTTTGCTGGTTCTTTGTTTTCTCAAGGCTGGCATTCTACCACTTGAGCCACAGTTCCACTTCCGGTTTGGTTAATTGGAGAAGTCTTTCAGATATATCTGCTTGGGCTAGGTGGCTTTTTTTTTTTTTTTAAACTCTGGGCCTGGGCGCTGTCCCTCAGCTCTTCAGCTCAAGGCTAGCTCTCTACCACTTGAGCCACAGCGCCATTTCCAGTTTTTCTGGTGGTTTATTGGAGATGAGTCTCACATATTTTCCTGTCTGAGGTAGCTTTGAACTGGGATCCTCAGATCTCAGCCTCTTGAATAGCTAGGATTACAGGTGTGAGCCACCAGTGCCCAGTTCCAAGCTTTTTTTTTTTTTTTGTCGGTTGTGGGGCTGGAACTCTGGGCTTGGGTGCTGTCCCTCAGCTCTTCACCTCAAGGCAAGTGCTCTACCACTTGAGCCATAGCACCACTTCCGGTTTTCTAGTGGTTTATTGGACATAAAGAGTCTCACGGACTTTCCTGCCCGGGCTGCTTTGAACTGTGGTCCTCAGATCTCAGCCTTCTGAGTAGCTAGGATGACAGGCGTGAGCCGCTGGAGTCTAGTGTACCCTGTACTTTGCTGTGAGTAGCTCTTCATTTCCTATACAAGTCCCCCAGACAGACTGTTTCTTGGGGTGAATTTAGGACCCACACCTGGCTGGTCAGGCTCCTTCCAGCTCCTGAGCACAGGCTTCATAGGGGCCAAAGACTCAGCTTCGAGGGCTTTTGTTTTTACAAGTGAGGCTGTAAACTTGGAGCTCTGTAGCCACACTGTCGAGGTGGGAGCCTGCTGGGAAGTGGAGCCCCGTAGCAGGAGGAGCACACGGAGAGGCTGGGAGCTGAGTTCTGGCTGTCGCCACGAGTCTTCCCGCGTGTGCTGCATGGTTTCAGCAGGTGGAGGCAGCTTCCGAGCTCCTCCCTCTGCGTCTGTGCTCCAGGCCAGGCCACAGCATGCTACTTTCTTTCCTTTACCTCAGTGTCTGCCCTTTGTCTTTGAAAATTGTCCTGTTGCTGGGAGCCAGTGGCTCATGCCTATAATCTTAGCTACTCAGAAGGCTGAGATCTGAGGATCACGTCTGAAGCCCACCTGGGTAGGAAAGTCTGTGAGACTCTTAACTACCAAAAAGCTGGAAGTAGCCCTGTTGCTCAAGAGGTAGAGCACTAGTCTTGAGCAAAAACAGCACAGGGAGCAGCTGGGAAGGTGGCTCAATGGTAGAGCTCTTGCCTTGCATGCCTGAGGCTCTGGGTTCTATTCCTCAGTACCACGTAAGCCAAAAGGAAAAAAGCCGGAAGTGGCGCTGTGGATCAAGTGGTAAAGCGCTAGCCTTGAGCTGAAGAGCTGAGGGACAGCGCCCAGGCCCGGAGTTCAGGTCCCACGACTGGACCCCCCCAAGAAAACAACAACATTGCCGGGCGCTGGTGGCTCATGCCTGTCATCCCAGCTACTCAGGAGACTGAGATCTGAGGATCATAGTTCAAAGCTAGCCTGGGCAGGAAAGACTGTGAGACTCCTATGTCCAATAAACCACCAGAAAACCGGAAGTGGCGCTGTAGCTCAAGTGGTAGAGTGCTCGCCTTGAGCTGAAGAGCTGAAGGACAGGGCCCAGGCCCAGAGTTCAAGCCCCACGACCGACAAAAACAAAACAAAACAAAACAAAAAAAACAGCACAGGGACAGTGCCTACGCTCTGAGTTCAAGCCTTAGGACTGACACACACAGAGATGGTCAGTTTTAAAAAAACAAAAACATTTTGCTATTTATAATGTACAACACAGAAAAGAAATACTCTGTACTCATCTCTTTCTTAAGATCTCTTTCCTTGGAGCCCAGTAGGACACAGGGCGAGCTGAGATCCACACTGTTTCCAGAGCAGCTGTGTCATTTTATGATGTCTCAGTGTGTGGCTAGACTCCACGCAGGAGGGATATGGGTTGGGCTGAGGTGTGGCCGCTGGCAGCCTGCCGGAGCTCCTGTCTTGGGCTCTGTGGAAGGCCATGCTGTCCTGCTAAACTCTTGCTCTGACAGGCATTTTAAGGGCAAGCTTAGCTTGCAGCTCCGTCTCCGCTGCCCCTGCTGTGGCCTCTGCCTGCTCCCCGTTTCCCCTGGTCTTGGGCTCAGCCGCCTCCTCCTGCCCACCTGGCACTGTCAGCCACAGTGCCTGGCTTCATTTCATCCTTGATTTCTCCCGGTCGCATTAATTCACACCAAGAGTAGGCCCAGGGCCTCAGAGTGCCCACCAGGGGTTTGTTGGACAGCCAGGTAGATGAAGTAATGCAGGCTTTACGCCAAGGATGTGGAGGCTGCGTTGTTCCCTTGTTACTGCACCAGAGGCCTTGAGTCCATCAGCTTACAGAGGCGAGGTCGACCCTGGCGCTTGGCTTCGGAGGCGTCCGTCCCTGCTAGGTTGGTTCCATCTTTTTGGCCCATGAAAGTGCAAAGCGGATGGTGTTGGAGGCAACTCACCTTAGGTCCGGTGGGAAGCGGAGAGAAAGAGGAAGGCGCGCCCTGCCCCTGCACCGGCACTCGGTCAAGGGTGCACCACAGTAAGGTGCCCCGCGTGTCAGAGGCGCCCTGGCCCCCAGCAGCAGGGCAGCCCTGGGGTGGGGGTCTTCCCAGGGGACACCCACCTGTCAGGGCAGGGGGGAGGGGGGTCCGGGGCGGGGGGGGGGGGGGGGGGGGGGGTCCGGGGCCAGGGGTCGGGCGGGTGTCCCGGGCCAGGGGGTGGGGTTGAGGAGGGTCCGGGGGTCTGGGGCCAGGTGGGGCTGGGGGTCGAGGAGGGGTCTGGGGCAGGGGTTAGGGGGATGTCTGGGGCCCGGGGAGGGCCTGAGGAGGGGTCTGGGGCCAGGTGGGTCCGGGTGGGTCCGGGTGGGTCCGGGGGGTCCGGGGTCCGGGTGGGTCCGGGGTCCGGGTGGGTCCGGGTGGGTCCGGGTGGGTCCGGGGTCCGGGTGGGTCCGGGGTCCGGGTGGGTCCGGGGTCCGGGTGGGTCCGGGTCCGGGTGGGTCTGAGTCCGGGGTCCGGGTGGGTCCGGGGTCCGGGTGGGTCCGGGGTCCGGGTGGGTCTGAGTCCGGGGTCCGGGTGGGTCCGGGGTCCGGGGTCCGGGTGGGTCCGGGTGGGTCTGAGTCCGGGGTCCGGGTGGGTCCGGGTGGGTCTGAGTCCGGGGTCCGGGTGGGTCCGGGTGGGTCCGGGTGGGTCCGGGGTCCGGGGTCCGGGTGGGTCCGGGGTCCGGGTGGGTCCGGGTCCGGGTGGGTCCGGGGTCCGGGGTCCGGGTGGGTCCGGGTCCGGGTGGGTCCGGGGTCCGGGGTCCGGGTGGGTCCGGGTCCGGGTGGGTCCGGGGTCCGGGGTCCGGGTGGGTCCGGGTCCGGGTGGGTCCGGGGTCCGGGGTCCGGGTGGGTCCGGGGTCCGGGTGGGTCCGGGGTCCGGGTGGGTCCGGGGTCCGGGTGGGTCCGGGGTCCGGGGTCCGGGTGGGTCCGGGTCCGGGTGGGTCCGGGTCCGGGTGGGTCTGAGTCCGGGGTCCGGGTGGGTCCGGGGTCCGGGTGGGTCCGGGGTCCGGGTGGGTCTGAGTCCGGGGTCCGGGTGGGTCCGGGGTCCGGGTGGGTCTGAGTCCGGGGTCCGGGTGGGTCCGGGGTCCGGGTGGGTCCGGGGTCCGGGTGGGTCCGGGGTCCGGGTGGGTCTGAGTCCGGGGTCCGGGTGGGTCCGGGGTCCGGGTGGGTCTGAGTCCGGGGTCCGGGTGGGTCCGGGGTCCGGGTGGGTCTGAGTCCGGGGTCCGGGTGGGTCCGGGGTCCGGGGTCCGGGTGGGTCCGGGGTCCGGGGTCCGGGGTCCGGGTGGGTCCGGGGTCCGGGTGGGTCCGGGGTCCGGGTGGGTCCGGGGTCCGGGGTCCGGGTGGGTCCGGGGTCCGGGGTCCGGGGTCCGGGTGGGTCCGGGGTCCGGGGTCCGGGTGGGTCCGGGGTCCGGGTGGGTCCGGGGCCCGGGTGGGTCCGGGTGGGTCCGGGGTCCGGGTGGGTCCGGGGCGGGGGTCCGGGTGGGTCCGGGGTCCGGGTGGGTCCGGGGCGGGGGTCCGGGTGGGTCCGGGGCGGGGGTCCGGGTGGGTCCGGGGCGGGGGTCCGGGTGGGTCCGGGGTCCGGGTGGGTCCGGGGTCCGGGGTCCGGGTGGGTCCGGGGCGGGGGTCCGCCGACCCGGCCTGCGCCCCGGGGCGCTCCGTGTCCGGCCGCGTCCGGCTCCGGGCGGCGCGGGGCCTGGCGGCGGGCGGAAGCTCGGGGCCCGGAACGCGCGCGCCGGGCTCGGGCGGCGGCGGGCGGCTTAGCGGGCGGACCGGCGGCGGGGCCGGCGCGGCGCGGGCGGCATGGCGGGCCGGCGGGTGAACGTGAACGTCGGCGTGCTGGGCCACATCGACAGCGGGAAGACGGCGCTGGCGCGCGCGCTGAGCACCACGGCCGCCACGGCCGCCTTCGACCGCCCGCCGCAGAGCCGCGCGCGCGGCGTCACGCTCGACCTGGGCTTCTCGAGCTTCGCCGCGCCGCTGCCCGGCGCCGGGGCGCTGCAGGTGACGCTGGTGGACTGCCCGGGGCACGCGTCCCTCATCCGGACCATCATCGGCGGTGAGCGGGGGGGGCACCGCGGGGGGACGGCCGGGCACGCGTCCCTCATCCGGACCATCACCGTCATCATGGGGGGGGCGGGCCTCCCCGGGCCTCCCCGGCCCCCCCTCCCGCCCCCTCCCAGCCTCCTCTGAGGGACACCCGAGCACCTCTGCGCCTGCCGGGCCACAGCCGAGGTCCCCCTGGCCTGCACCACCCAGCTCAGCACTTCCCCGGTGTCTTTTCCTTTGGTGCCAGTAATGGGGCTTGAACTCAGGGAGTCTCACCGATCAAGACTGTGCTGTACCCCTGGAGCCGCATCTCCATGTCCAGCTTTCTGTTGGTTATTTGGAGATAGAGTCTCCACTTCTCCTGCCTGGCATGGCCTCAAATAGCCATCCTCAGAGCTCAGCCTCCTGGGCAGTGGGGATGAGGGGCATGATCCTCAGAGCTCAGCCTCCTGGGCAGCGGGGATGAGGGGCGTGATCCTCAGAGCTCAGCTTCCTGGCAGTGGGGATGAGGGGCGTGATCCTCAGAGCTCAGCTTCCTGGCAGTGGGGATGAGAGGCGTGATCCTCAGAGCTCAGCTTCCTGGCAGTGGGGATTACAGGCCTGAGCCACCAGCTCCCAACTTGTTTTGTTTTGGTTTTTTTTTTGGGGGGGTGGGGGTGTCCAGAGGTGGGCCTGAACTCTGGGCTTGGGCACTGTCCCTCAGCTCTTCAGCTCAAGGCTAGCGCTCTACCACTTGAGCCACAGCGCCACTTCCGGCTTTTTTCTTTTTGCGTATGTGGTGCTGAGGAATGGAACCCAGGACCTCATGCATGCAAGGCAAGCACTCTACCACTGAGCCACCTTCCCAGCCCCTTGTTTTGTTTTCTGGCCCTGGGAGTAAAAGGCGATCTTTCTCTTTCATAGCTAGAACAACTGGCATCAGGGGTGCAGGCAGGCAGGGGTCAGCAGGGCCAGGCGCTGTGCCTGGGGCCCAGCTCTGAGCAAGCAGGTGTCCTCTGCTGGAGACCTGCGAGTCCTGCTTCAGGGCAGTATTTTTCTCCAGCCCATTTTAGAGTATAAATCTTCTAGGGTTAGAACTTCTGAGAGATGTAGTAATGAATGTTTTAAAGACACGGTGGGGACGGGGGACGCAGCCTCCTCCTCCATCTAACTCTAGCAGCAGGAGCGGCTGAAAAATGCAGGGTCCCTGGCTTGCCCATTTGTAGTCCTCTGTCGGCTGCTAGGATTAACAGCGCATTGTCTCTGGGTCTTTTGTGCGGATTGTTAATGAACAGCAGCTCTTCTGCCTGACGTGCCGCCTGGAGCTGGCCTCTCTGCCCACTGCCGGAGGGATGCTTCCTGCTGGGCAGGAGCCAACAAGGGCCCAGGGGTCCTGGCACTGTCCCCAGGGTGCTGTCCTAGAGCTGTCCCCAGGTCTGCTGTCCTGGAGCTGTCCCCAGGTCCGCTGTCCCCAGGGTGCTGTCCCCAGGGTGCTGTCCTGGAGCTGTCCCCAGGTCCGCTGTCCTGGAGCTGTCCCCAGGGTGCTGTCCTGGAGCTGTCCCCAGGGTGCTGTCCTGGAGCTGTCCCCAGGTCTGCTGTCCCCAGGGTGCTGTCCTGGAGCTGTCCCCAGGTCTGCTGTCCCCAGGGTGCTGTCCCCAGGGTGCTGTCCCCAAGGTGCTGTCCCCAGGGTGCTGTCCTGGAGCTGTCCCCAGGGTGCTGTCCCCAGGGTGCTGTCCCCAGGGTGCTGTCCTGGAGCTGTCCCCAGGGTGCTGTCCCCAGGGTGCTGTCCCCAGGTCCGCTGTCCCCAGGGTGCTGTCCCCAGGGTGCTGTCCTGGAGCTGTCCCCAGGGTGCTGTCCCCAGGGTGCTGTCCCCAGGGTGCTGTCCTGGAGCTGTCCCCAGGGTGCTGTCCCCAGGGTGCTGTCCCCAGGGTGCTGTCCTGGAGCTGTCCCCAGGGTGCTGTCCCCAGGGTGCTGTCCCCAGGGTGCTGTCCCCAGGTCCGCTGTCCCCAGGGTGCTGTCCCCAGGGTGCTGTCCTGGAGCTGTCCCCAGGGTGCTGCCCTGGAGCTGTCCCCAGGGTGCTGTCCCCAGGGTGCTGTCCTGGAGCTGTCACCAGGGTGCTGTCCTGGCGCTGTCCCCAGGCCCGCTGCCCCCAGGCTGCTGTGTCAGTGGCCTGGAGAGAGCATCCTCTGGGAAGTGCGGCCAAGCTGCTGGTGGCTCCACACTGAGGAAGCCCCCACTGAGCCTGTGCCCGGAGGCCTGCCCCGTACGTCCCCGGCGCGCCCGCTGATGCTGCCTTTGGTCTCATGAATGAATGAATGTCTTCAGCTTTTTTTCCTTTGAGGTGGGGTCTTGCTATTTGTGCCAACCCCCCTCCCATCTCCCTCCCCCTCCCCCCCCTCCCTGCCTGCCCAGGCCTCAAGCTCACACTCTTCCTGCCTCAGCCTTCAAGTTCAGCCAGGTTTTTTTTCGGTTGTGAGGGTTGAAATCTGGGCCTGGGCGTTGAGCTTTTTGGGGAGCCAGATGTTTTGTGTCCCCCTGGGGATGTGCACATGCGTCTGGCGCTCTGCGTGGCTCAGGCAGGGGGTGTGCAAAAGCAAGCCAACGAACAAGAGCTTCTGCTTTTCTCTGTCCCTCACCTTTCTATGAGAATCCCTGTCCGCATTCATTATTCCAAATTGTGGTAACTACGTGTTTATCCTAAAGCACCCAGGCATGGTTAGCAGGGAGCGTCCCTCCCCTGAGCTCCCGTTCCCTTCTCCTCTCTGCTGGAAGCTGGGCCAGTGCGCTGGGTCGCCTCGCAGCTGTCCGGTGCCCCCCCCCCACGTGCTGCCGCCCTCCTGGCTGGGGGCAGTGAGTGAGCTCTGCCTTCCCCCTCTCGGCGCTGGACAGCGGGTGGCTCTGCCGGGCCCATGTGTCTGTGTGAGCTACACATCAGAGGCACAGCCCTGGGTTTAAATTAATGCAGAATATTTGGGCAGGAACCAACAGGAAAGAAAAATGGGAGCAGGTAGTCATATTTCATTCCGCTGGGGTACATTTTTCTTCTCATGGGGCTTGCCCTTGAGAACAAAACATATCAAATGTTAAATCAAAGAATATTTTTGTAGTCATGCTAGGAATAGAAAATAATGCAAAGAGTTTGCCTTCTTGAGGCAAATATTTTGTTGGAAGGTTATAATCAAAGTCAGAAGGGAATCATAGCCACAGCTTTTGGGAAAGCTGTAATCATTTAAAATTAATTGTTCTAAAGTTTACACTGAGCATCTCCTTTGTTTTCTATCAGCGTTTCTCCTGGATTTTTCTTCGGAATCTTGCCATTGGGGTTAGAATGAGATTTGGGCAGGCGGTCCAGGAAACAACCCGTGAGCCCCAGGACACATTCCCTTCTCCGTTCTCTTGTTTGATGGCACCCGGCCAGGCTGCGGCTCCCGTGCCTGAGCTCTGTGCCTGGCTGTGGGCCTGCTCAGCAGCAGGGGTTTTGCGATGGGACCCTGGGGTCCCCGGGCCAGGGAAGGCAGGGCGCGGGAGCCTGGCAGGGCCAGTTCCACGGGGCATTCCTCTGCACTCTGGGGCTCTCGCGCCTCCCCAGGGCCTCACACACAGCAGGAAGCTGATAGCCTTTTCCTTTTTTCTTTATTTGGTACTGGGGATTGAACTCAGGGCCTCGGGCATGCTAGACCAGTACTCTACTTGAGCTATACCCACAGCCTGAGATAAGGTGTAGCTAATGTAGCTTAGACTGGCCTCAAACTCTCCATCTTCCAAGGCCGTGGCCTCAGAATAGCTATACTCGTTGATGGTTGTTTTTTTTTTTTTTTTTATGCCAGTCCTGGGGCTTGAACTCAGGGCCCAGGCGCTGTCCCTGAGCTTCTTTCACTGAAGGCTAGCGCTATACTACGTGAGCCACGGCGCCACTTCTGGCTTTTTCTGTGTGTGTGGTACTGAGGAATCGAACCCATGCTTCATGCATGCTAGGCAAGCACTCTACCACTGAGCCACATTCCAGCCTAGAATATTCTGCTAGATGTCTACATGGCTGTAATGCACAATATCATGAAATCTGTCCGTTTGAAGTACACACGCATTGGCTTTGGTATTTCATGGAATTGCTTGGTCTTGGCCATAAGCCCGTGCAGAGCACTTCTTTGCCATGTGAAGAAGCGGGACTTGCTGCAGCCCTCATGCCCCGTTGCCCTTGGGGTGGGTGTATCTGTGGATCGCCTCTGCTGGACATTTTACAGGAATGCGGTCCCATGGGAGGTGATTTTTGTGTGTTTGATTTCTTGTACTTAGCATATACCTTGTTGTTGTTATCAGTAAGGAGGCTTGAACTCAGGGTCTGGCTCTATCCCTGAGGTCTTTTGCTCAAGGCTAGCATTCTACCACAGCTCCGCTTCCAGTTTTTGAGTGGTTAGTTGGAGGTAGGAGTCTCATGCGGACTTTTTTGCCCGGCTTGGTTTTGAGCCCCCATCCTCAGGGCTCAGCCTCCTGAGGCGTGAGCTGCCAGGGCCCCCAAAGTGTCTTTGTTTCCTTATATTCATTTGATCGTTTGTTAGTTGTTGAGAGGAGTTACACCTTTAGACTCCTCAGTTTGTACGTGCCTAAAGCCCTGGATATGTTATCATGCATGTCTGTACTTTATATTGAACTTCCACATATGAGAGAAAACACATACCGATTGTCTCTCTGAGCCTGACGTACCTCACTTAATGGAATCCTTTCAAGGCAGTCCATTTCCCTGCAAATGACATAGTATTCTTTCTAATAGATGGGTAAAATTCCATTGTGCATGTGTACCACATTCTCTTGATCCATTCATCTATTGTCGGGCACCTGGGCTGTGAACATGTAAACACAGGTGTCTTTACCACGTCCTGATCTGTAATGATCTGGGTAGATGCCCAAGAGTAGTATGGCTGGATGGGAGGGAAGGTTAGTGTTTTGAGGAATCTCCAAACCGCCTTCCAGAGTGTTGGTTCTAGTTTACCTTCCTCCCGGTAGAAAGGCTTCCTTTCCCGTATTTGTTGCTCTTTGTAGTCTCCACACTGGCCAAACTTACCAGGGGGAGATGAAATCTCAGTGTTGTTTCGATTGTATTTGTTTTATATTCAGGATGTTGAACTTTCCCTCATGCGTTCATTGGCCGTTCTTTTTTTCTGAGATGTCTCTAGTTAGCTTCTTTGTCCGTCCATAGTTGAGTTACTAACTGGGGAGCGGCTTCGTATCTTGGCCCCTCCGGCCCCTGCGCTGGTAAGTGCTTCCCAGCCTGTTGGCTGACTTTTCAGCTTCGTAGCTGTGTGCTGAGCGGTGCAGTCACTTTTCAGTTTGATACAATCTCATTTGTCAAGTCTCTCTCCTGTTTGCTGAGTCCTTGTGTCTTGCTTCAGAAAGTTCCTGCCTGTGCCAATAAGTTCTAAGGTGTCTCATGCCTTTTTGTAGTAGCTTCAAGGTTTCAGATCTGACATTGAGGTCTTTGATCCTTTTTGTGTGTGTGTGTGTGCTGGTCCTGGGCTTGAAATCAGGGCCTAGACGCTGTCCCTGAGCTTTTTTGCTCAAGGCTAGCACTCTACCCCTTGAACCACAGTTCCGCATTTGACTTTTGGTGGTTAATTGGAGGTAAAAGTCGGATGGACTTGCCACCTGAGTGGCTGGGCTGATGGGCGTGCCTGCCAGTGCCCAGCCATGTCAGCCATGTTGATCTGCAGTGGCGCGTGGCCCAGGTTGCTTCTCTCGTTCTGTTCCTGACCCATGAGGACATCTGGACCGCGACGCCTTGTTCTGGGTGCTGGCAGCCCATCTGGTGGAAGTGGCCAGTGGTGCTGCTGTTTGATGTTTTTTCTACTTACTGTGGAGGTGTGGCTCTGTTGTGGAGCACTGGCCAATGAGCAAAAGTAGCCATAGGTACTGAATTTGAGTCCCAGTCTCAGACCAAGAAAAAGAAAAAGACTGTGCATATACAAACCCAGCTTCGTTTTGGATGCAAAGGCAGACATTGGCCAGGAGCCTGCAGTCCGGGGGAGGGAGAAGGGGTGCAGAGGCTTTGATTGAGAGGAGCACGAAGATATGAAGATGGGTGCCCAGGCCGGGCAAGGGGGCCTCCCCGTGGTGGGAGGCCGCACCCAGCCTAGAGGGAGCCGGGGGACGGCCTGTTGGGGTCCTGTGGAGCAGCCCGGTCCTGGCTGGTATGGCTGCACCCTGGGAAGGTCATGGAACCGTCCTGCCAAGTTCTGGCAGGAGGAGCTGTCCAGTTGGACATTTGCAGGTGTTGGGGTGTGCCAGTGGGGAGGGCTGGGAGACATGGCAGGGCTGGGTGGGGGTGGCTGGGGGAGGCTGGCCAGGGGCTGGGACCGCCCCTGGGGGGGTGAGGGAAAGGGGTGTGCCCCAGGAGTGCAGGGGGGGGGGGGATGGTGGGAGAGCGAGGGGAGCTCACCTGTGTGCTGTGCGCCCCGCCTCCCGCTACCCCCGCCAGCCACCCCCGCCTCCCGCCACCCCCGCCAGCCACCCCCGCCTCCCGCCACCCCCGCCAGCCACCCCACCTCCCGCCATCCCTGCCAGCCACCCCCGCCTCCCGCCACCCCCGCCAGCCACCCCCGCCTCCCGCCAGCCTGCCCCTGGGGACTGGGCCCGAGCTGCGAAGCCTGGGCCTGGTCCGGCTGGGTTCCCGCGGGCCTGTGCCTGCCTGGCACAGGTGTGGCACTAAAGAGCAGTTCACAGGGACAGACTGGGAGGGGCTCCGGTGCCTCTGCTGCCCCCCCCCCCCCCCCAGAGCCGGAGAGCTGTGCTCTGGTCATTGGGCCTTTTACCTCCCCAGGTGTGGGTGTGGGTGTGGTGTGTGAGGAGGCCTGAAGCAGTGCCTGAGCCTCAGCTCCTGCTGTGGAGAGAGAAGCTGCCCCCCCCCCCCCCCCCCCGCGAACCCCCCCTTGCCTTGTGAGCGGGCCTCTCTTGTCTTGGGGCCTTCAGAAAGACAGAAAGAGATCCCTTTGTCTCTAACCCACTTCCTGAGGATATTTATGTGCCGCACACACAGGTGCTAGGTGTAGATACATCTGAGTTTTCACCCTTAAAAATACTGCTTCAGATTTGTCAGGGAGGCCCTCCCTGGCCCGGGGGACCCCGCCCCGCCCGTGCGCATTTAGTGGTGGCTTGGAGCCGGTGGTGGTCTGGAGCCCATGGTGGTCGGTTGGTGCTGTCCTGGGCTCACTCCAGGCTGGGGGTGGGGCCCAGCCCCACAGCTACCTTGCAGGGTGGCCTGAAGCCACCTGCGGCTCTGGCGGGCAGAGGGATCACACTTTTCATCAGCAGGATCCGGGGTTCAGCCGCGCTGTGCGACGGGACCGCAGAGCAGGCTGCCGGGAAGCGAGAGATGAGCTGCACCCACCGCGCTCACGGCCAGCACTCGGCACTGGCTGGAAGGTCTGCAGAGGTCCATCAGGATTTCCAGAACATTCTTTGGAACAGGAATGCGGTATCACCATGTGATTCTGCAGGGCAGCTGTGAGCCTTGTGTGATCATTTGAGCATTTGAAAATGGTGGCTATTGCAGCTGAGGCCTTGAATTAACTTTTAAATGATTGCGTTTTAAGCTAAATTTTCATTCTTTTAAAACAAATTTACATTTGGATGGGCACGCGTGTCTGAGGACAGTGGAATTCCGGCTGGGGCAGAAGAGGCTGCTGCCGCTCCAGTGTGCGGCTCTTGGAGGCGCGGCCTGGGCTCCAGCCTCCCCCCTGCTGGGCCTGCTGTGGGCAGGGCCTTCCCTGCTTTCCTGCTCTCTAGGCCAGGCCCCACCTGTGCCCTGCCAGCCTGCACAGGGCTCCTGACGGGCGCAGTCCCAGCACCGGAGCTCCTTCCGAGACCGGCTTCAGGCAGTTCCACATTCCCACCCAGCTCCTGATCTCAGCCTCCTGCCCCTGTGGCTGGAAGTTCTTCTTCAGTGCAGCTGTTAGCGCTCTGGCGCAGCTTCAGATGCCCTCTGGGCATAAGGCTCACGTGTCTGACAAAGCCCTCCCAATGAGCTGTGTGGTCTCCAGCTCCGCAGCTCCACCTTGGTCTGGGAACTAGGCCTCTGCACAGAGAGCGTCAGCTCTGATGCCCTGCGCTCTGCCTGCACAAGCTGCTCTGGGGAGCCTTACAGCTCTGGCCTCTCCAGCTGGAATAAATGGCCTTCATCTCGGGGCCCGTAACATCCCATAGGCACCCTAGAGTCTCATGCTTCTCCTCCTCAGGTGCCAGTCTCTGAGTGCTGGATGATGCTCTCTAGTGGGCTCCATGCTCCTGTGGGCAGAGGGAGTTATCATCTGCCCAGGGCGGAGGTTGGCACAGAGTGAATGTGATGCATGCACAGGGTGAATATTTGATGTATTCATGAAAGAAGGAAAAAAGAAAAGGAGAGAGGGAGGGAGGAAGGACGGGAGGAAGTCATTTTTATTGCTTGTGCCAATTACCCGCCCTCCCATGGTCCTCCAAACAGCGGAGCAGAGTTCAGCAGAGGAGGGAACCTGCCTTCAGGTTGACCTTTCCATGGGAATTCAACCCGCGCATTTCATTTTCAGGCCACTTTGCGTAGCAAAGTGGTTTAACGCGTAGCAGATTCTGCAGCGCTGATGGTTAATTTCATGGCCGCCCGTGCCAGGAGCATGGCAGTCCCAGCGCCTACAGCAAGTGGCCAGCGCGGCTCTGGCACTGGGGAGGGCGTTGCTGTGGTGCTGTTCGGACGCCCTTGAACAGGCGGGTTTTGAATAATAGTGGTGACCCTTTGGGGAACATTTTTAAAAGCTGTAACATAGATCCCTCCCTGGCCCTGTGTTTTCCTTTCTTCCCTCAGTTCAAAGGGGCCGAGTTGTCTCATAGGTTTTCGCCGGCAGTCTTCAGCTTGACCCTGGTTGTGTAAATCTGCAGGAGGAAATTTGAACAACTTGTACTTTAGTCATTCTTCTGCCTCTGTGAACCTTTAACCCTGGGTTTCTCTGGAGCCCAGGCTGCATTGTCACCGCAGTCCTGCTGGGGCTTTCAAAGGGCATTGTCTAGTGCGTCTGTTTCCACTTTGCTACTGGCGTTCTTTAGAGGAAGGGTATTAATTCAGACCTGATTCTGAGACAGGAGGAGGATTTTGAACTTGCCCCAGAGCTCGGGGTTGGGGAAATGAGTGTAATGCAAGCCTGTGGCCCATGTCGGTGATCATTCTGCAAATAGAGTGCCAAGGAGGAGGGCAGAGGTTCAGGAAGGCGAGCGGCGTTCCAGCTGACCAGAGGAGACCTTGGCTCCGCCAACATGACCCAAGAGGCTGCTGGCTCTGGCCATCCCGTCTCGGTCCAGCGTCTCCCGGAACGTGACATTCCCGAGGCCCAGCCCAGGGCGTTCATAGGAAGTCAGGGGTGAACTTGGGGTCCCAGAGACCTTTACAAACAGGCCTGTCGTTAGAGACATGACGGTAAGGAGAGAGGACTGTCAGGGCAGAAAGCCAAGTTCCAACGTGTCTGCGCTGGCGTCCGAGGTCTCGCCTGCGCACCCTCCGCAGCCCGTCCACCCGGCGTCCCTCTGTCAGCCACGGCTCCCCGTTAGGGCCTGGGCGCGCGTCTCCTCACGCGTGAGCGTGGCCCCTCCGTCACGCGGCTCCTGCGTGTGAGCGTGGCCCCTCCGTCACGCGTCTCCTCACGCGTGAGCGTGGCCCCTCCGTCACGCGTCTCCTGCATGTGCCGTGGCCCCTCCGTCACGCGGCTCCTGCGTGTGAGCGTGGCCCCTCCGTCACGCGTCTCATGCGTGAGCGTGGCCCCCAGTCACGTGTCTCCTCACGCGTGAGCGTGGCCCCTCCGTCACGTGTCTCCTGCATGTGAGCGTGGCCCTCCGTCACGCGTCTCCTGCATGTGAGCGTGGCCCCTCCGTCACGCGTCTCCTGCGTGTGAGCGTGGCCCCTCCGTCACGCGTCTCCTCACGCGTGAGCGTGGCCCCTCCGTCACGCGTCTCCTGCATGTGAGCGTGGCCCTCCGTCACGTGTCTCCTGCGTGTGAGCGTGGCCCCTCCGTCACGCGTCTCCTCACGCGTGAGCGTGGCCCCTCCGTCACGCGTCTCCTGCATGTGAGCGTGGCCCTCCGTCACGCGTCTCCTGCATGTGAGCGTGGCCCTCCGTCACGTGTCTCCTGCGTGTGAGCGTGGCCCCTCCGTCACGCGTCTCATGCGTGAGCGTGGCCCCCAGTCACGTGGCTCCTCACACGTGAGCGTGGCCCCCAGTCACGTGGCTCCTGCGTGCACGCGGGGCCCCTCGGGCCCCCTGCGTCTGTGGTGCACGCAGGCCTTTGGACTCCTGGAGGAGTGGTGTCACTGGCTCTAAGGGGAGGGCAGGATCCTGGAGAGGTGTTGGCCTCCCTGGCCTGGAGGGCAGATCCTGGGGAGGTGTTGGCCTCCCTGGCCTGGAGGGCAGATCCTGGGGAGGTGTTGGCCTCCCTGCCCTGGAGGGCAGATCCTGGGGAGGTGTTGGCCTCCCTGGCCTGGAGGGCAGATCCTGGGGAGGTGTTGGCCTCCCTGGCCTGGAGGGCAGATCCTGGGGAGGTGTTGGCCTCCCTGGCCTGGAGGGCAGATCCGGGGGAGGTGTTGGCCTCTCCCCGGCCTGGAGGGCAGATCCTGGGGAGGTGTTGGCCTCCCTGGCCTGTAGGGCAGATCCGGGGGAGGTGTTGGCCTCCCGGGCCTGGAGGGCAGATCGGGGGAGGTGTTGGGCCTGCCCCGCCTGGAGGGCAGGATCCTGGGGAGTTGTTGGGCCTGCCCCGCCTGGAGGGCAGATCCTGGGGAGGTGTTGGGCCTGCCCGGCCTGGAGGGCAGATCGGGGGAGGTGTTGGGCTTCCCAGGCCTGGTGGTCAGCGTCCTCAGTCCTGTCTCTTCCTGCCTTGTAGGCCAATCTCCTTTCGGCGGTGAGTGGAAGCGGGGTTGGCAGGCAGTCTTGGCATAAAGCAAGTTAGACATTTTTCACTCCTTTGTGATTGTGTCTGGCATCACATTGGCACATTGGCGGCTTGTGATGTGCGGGCGGCGTGGAGGTCTGGACCACGAGCAGTGTGAGGCAAACCGTCTGGTCGCAGAGCCGCGCGCGGATGCAGGGCTGGCCCTGTGCCCCCCCCAAATGTCACCCTTTCTTTCTCCAGGAGCAAGGTCAGTGGGACTTGGCTGGTCTGCTGGTCTCTCCGAGGGTAAGGGCAGGGTGCAGACAGTGGATGGCTCTTCTTCAGAGCCAGAGCGACCCTTGCTTCAGGGAACCCCAAGGCCTCCCTGCCCAGGTTGTGCCCCCCAGCCTTTGCCTAGCCGTAGCTCACAGCAATGTCTGTCTGATTTTCTAAACTTCATTAATGAGTATTTTTGTATATCGCCAGTACTGGGGCTTGAACTCAAGGCCTTGTGCTCTCTTGCTCAAAGCTGGTGTTCTACCACTTGAACCACAGCTCCATTTCTGGCTTTTTGCTGCTTACTTGGAGATCAGAGTCTCATGACCTGACTCCCCTGTCCAGGCTACCTTCAAGCAAGCTGCGATCCGCAGCTCTCAGCCCCCTGAGTAGCTAGGATCGCAGGTGTGAGCTGTCAGTGCCCCGCTAGAAGGAGTGTGTGAGGGTCTCTTGAGATGCTGGTTTGGTCTGGGGATAAAGCCCTGTCTGCAGGGCAGGACGGAGAGTGTGAGCCCCAGCCTTGGCCTCGGCGTCTTCCGGAGGGAGTGGGTACGGAGTTCACTGAGCGGCAGCAGGACGCGGCAGCGCCTCTCTGTCTCTCTAGAATTAAATGAGACCTCTTCCTGGAAAAGATTTCTTGGACAACAAGAGATACTACTTACTCATGATTGTAGGTTCATCAGTCATTTCTAAAAGTTTTTAAAGTACTTAGTGAGAAAAGTTGCCATGACAACCAATAAAGTTTCCTTTCGAGGAATGAGTCTTTTCTAGGAAAGATGAGGGTCAGTTGTTTGGTCTGATTACTTCTGCTAAACCTTTCCTCTGTCTCTTACCTCAAAATCTGTCTCAAAGGCCGTGTGGGGACGCTCCGGGGCTCTGTGTGCGTCAGCCTCCTCCCCACGGCCGGCGGGACCCTCTGCCTGCGTGCAGAGCACTTTGGTGCACAAGAGGGCAGTGTTCGCCTGCAGTCCTGACGAGGCCAACCCGTGGGTAGGTGCCCAGGCCAGCGTCGTTCCAGTGACCTCGGACTTCGTTGAGACAAAAACCGTGAGGCCATGATTTCCTATAGATGCTTCTGGTGCCTGTCCCCACCAGAATGGCTGCTTGCTGTCTTTTTTCCCCCTTAAAAAATACATTGTTTCAATGGTTCTTTTTTTTGCGTTTTTAATCAATGAGAATATGGTTTGCAGGCTTGGACCTACAATGCAACTGTTTCCTAATTAAAAACCAGAGGGAAAGCTTTCTGTCTGAAGCCAGAGGCCAAGTGAGTTCTCTCCCGCTTCACCTCCATGTGAAGATAATCTGACGGCTTC